CCAGATCTCAGCCTCTGGACAGAATTGGGAGCTGAAACCTGCACTCCTGCCCTTGTCTGGACGTGCCCCGACAGTGCTGTGCATTTCAGGGAGTTTGGAGAAACTTGAAAATCTGACTGAAAAATTCTCCAAGGGATACTACATACCCCTTTGAGATTTTTTGGGTCGAATTTTCAAGTTTCTCCAATCTCTTTGAAATTCACACCATGGACAGGGCGTGCCCAGATGAGCACAGGAGTGCAGGTTTCATCTCCAAATTCTGTCCAGAGGCTGAGATCTGGACGTTCCACCTGCAACTTATACCATTCAAAAATTCAGGCTGTTCATGGACAGTGGGATTTCTGGGTTCTGAAGGCTGCTAATTGCTCAGGGGGCCCAAATATGAACCTAAAATTGATATTTAATCAATTTTATTCATTTTTATCAACCATGACCTCAAAATATAAAAAAACATACCAACTGTAACTTATTTGACAGGGCCCCTTTGTGCACTCCGTGGACATGTCGTTTTAAGGCTTATAATGCATAATTATGAACTGTAAAGTACCCCAACATGTTGGATTGTCTTCCCTGTGCACGGTACTGGCTGTTTAGAGTAATAAAACATTTATAATTACGAAACATGACCTATTAATGCATTGACCACGGAGTGCACAAAGGGGCCCTGTCGAATAAGTTACAGGTGGGCAAAGTAAGGGCCCACCTGTAACTTGTTCGACAGGGCCCCTTTGTGCACTCCGTGGACATGTCCATTTAAGTCTAATAATGCATAATTGTGAACTGTAAAGTACCCCAACATGTTGGATTGTCTTCCCTGTGCACTGTACTGGCTGTTTAGAGTAATAAAACATGTATAATTATGAAATATGACCTATTAATGCATTGACCACGGAGTGCACAAAGGGACCCTGTCAAATCAGTTACAGGTGGGCCCTTACTTTGCCCACCTTCAACTTATTTAACAGAGGCCCTATAGGACAGTGGTTTTATGTGGTCAAACCTACTGTACACAACTCAGGGGACACACCACAACACACTCATGTACATTACAGCCAATAATTGTGCATAGTGTTAGACATTTTCAGCCGGTGAATCCCTGTAAGGAATTGGGGATTTCAGCATATGTGCTGAAGGCCAGTGTGTAACTTATCAAGCTACAGGTGGGATGCCGAATTTGACCGGATGTATCTCGGGAGCTAAGCCGACTTGGGGCTCCATACTCTGGCCCGGAGTTTGGAGCTCCAACTCGGCTTGGTTCCCGAGATACACCCGGTGGTGGTGGTGGTGGACGAACAGGCCGTTCGTTGTCACACAGGTGGTCAGGGGGACGAATGAGCTGTTCGTGTCAGTGGGTGGGGCCCCGGGCCGTCTCTTAGATTGCCCGTTGGCCAACAGGCCGTTCGCTGTCACACAGGAGGTCAGGGGGACGAATGAGCTGTTCGTGTCAGTGGGCGGGGCCCCGGGCCGTCTCTTAGATTGCCCGTGGGCGAACAGGCCGTTCGCTGTCACACAGGCGGTCAGGGGGACGAATAGGCTGTTTGTGTCAGTGGGCGGGGCCCCGGGCCGTCTCTTAGATTGCCCGTGGGCGAACAGGCCGTTCGTTGTCACACAGGCGGTCAGGGGGACGAATAGGCTGTTTGTGTCAGTGGGCGGGGCCCCGGGCCGTCTCTTAGATTGCCCGTGGGCGAACAGGCCGTTCGTTGTCACACAGGCGGTCAGGGGGACGAATGAGCTGTTCGTGTCAGTGGGCGGGGCCCCGGGCCGTCTCTTAGATTGCCCGTGGGCGAACAGGCCGTTCGCTGTCACACAGGCGGTCAGGGGGACGAATGAGCTGTTTGTGTCAGTGGGCGGGGCCCCGGGCCGTCTCTTAGATTGCCCGTGGGCGAACAGGCCGTTCGTTGTCACACAGGTGGTCAGGGGGACGAATGAGCTGTTCGTGTCAGTGGGCGGGGCCCCGGGCCGTCTCTTAGATTGCCCGTGGGCGAACAGGCCGTTCGCTGTCACACAGGCGGTCAGGGGGACGAATGAGCTGTTCGTGTCAGTGGGCGGGGCCCCGGGCCGTCTCTTAGATTGCCCGTGGGCGAACAGGCCGTTTGCTGTCACAAAGGCGGTCAGGGGGACGAATAGGCTGTTTGTGTCAGTGGGCGTGGTCAGGGGGCGGTCACAGGCTGTCTTTGGGACGAAAGGGCGCTCAGTGGACGGTGGGTGTGGTCAGGGAATTTCCCGAAAAGGCGGTCAGGGGTAGGCGCGTGCGCTCCGTGGGCGCCCGCCTGCAACCTGTTCGGCGCGCGTCGAAACGACTGCAGGCGGTCGGCGAGTCGCCCCCCTGTGGCCGATGCCCGTATTGCGAGCGAGGGGGCCGAATTTCGTCGGGCTCCCGCGGGGCCCCCGAGGCCCCCCGGCCCGAGGCGACGCCTCTGGCCCGCCCCGTCGGTCCCCCCCTGCGGCCGGGCGCGGTCGGCCGGCCCCCGAAAAATCATCTAGGGGGCGGCGCGCAGCGTTCCGCTAACCTCCTATCACGGACTACCTTTTAAGCAGCTCGCGGACCGCTGGCCTAACGTGACGGCCTAAAGAGAGTAAGTCAAGCAATGAGGTTTTAGCGCTGTTTGTTCGCTTTCGGCTACGGTAGAAAAATACCTTTAGACCTTCATAGAAGGGGATTCCCGCGCCTATGTAGATATAAATGTCTCATTCTAAGGTAATAAAAACATAACGGTTCATTAAGTAAGGTCTTTATACACCACTGAAAACATAGTTATGGATTTTATATTGCATTTCTGTCAATAGATCCTCAGAAATATTACACAATGCACCTTACATAATATAATAATAGTAATCAGCTGATTGTCTCACGAACGTAACCAGCACATTCTCCCCACACAGCAAACCCATAATACAGCGAGGGAGAAGAACCACATGACACTATGCAACTATATATTTTTTCTAACAGGGTAGTAAAAGTTTAGCTGGCTAATATGAGCTGTAACTGTGGCTGAGCTGGTTAAAGCGTTAAGCCTTGTTTAAACTCGACGCGTCCGCATGAGCCCAAAGGTGCGTGCGGCAAAAATGACGTGATTGTGACAGCGCGCGCGCCTCCGCATCCCCTAGACACACTTACTACACACAATAGGCTTTTTTTCTCTGATTTTGGAAACTCGATCGACTTAAAATGCTTCCAAGATCGACGGGTTGGTGATTCCTGTAACTTTTTACGGTCAATGACAAGAGTAGCCTACTAATCAGCTGTCTCACGAACTTAACCAGCACATTTATCCCCACATAGCAAAGCCATAACACAGCAAGGGAGAAGAATTAAGTTACATGAAACAATCCAACTACATATTTACACCACTGACAAGGGAAAAGTCACTACTCACGGTGTTTATGACTAGCTTCTTCTAGCTTCCTGCGGCTTCTCTTTCAATGTAGTGACGAAACGCGCTCTGTAACGCTGTTTGTTCGCTGTCGGCTACTGTAGAAACATGACGTCACAATATGGCGACCTTCATAGAAGGGGATTCCCGAGCCTATGTAGATATAAATGCCTCATTCTAAGGTAATAAAAACATTACGGTTTATTAAGTAAGTTCTTTGTACACCACTGAACACATAGTTATGGATGTCATATTGCATTTCTGTTAATAGATACTCAAAAATGTTACACATTGCACCTTTTCTAGCAGAAAAAGTCTATTTTTCTGCTATGTGAAAAAAAACGAGCAAAACGCGCCGGCGCGTTTCTGGTCCCCAGAGGGTTAATACGCGAATGCCCTGGAGTCTCAAAGGAGCCAGAGCTGCATCCTCGCATTTTGTAAAGGTGCGGGGTGCTAAACCTAGGTCAACTGGAAGAACCCGATACTGGTATGCTTCGCCCCCGAAAGCGAACCTCAGGAACTTCCTGTGATGAGGATGGATAGATACATGGAAGTACGCGTCTTTCAAGTCTATTGTGACAAACCAGTCCTCGCACTGAATCTGTGATACAATCATTTTGAGTGTAAGCATTTTGAACTTGAGTTTCTGCACTCTGCTGTTTAACTGGCGCAGATCTAGAATAGGACGCAACCCTCCATCCTTCTTTGGAACAATGAAATAACGTCTGTAAAACCCTGACTCTCTGCTGGGAGGAGAAACCCTTTCTATAGCTCCTTTTTGAAGAAGTGTCAATATTTCCTGCTCCATGACCAGAGCCTGCTGTGAGTCCACCACTGTAGAGAGGACCCCTTGAAATCTGGGCGGACGAGAACCGAACTGAATTCTGTAACCCTTTTCTATTATGTGCAGGACTCATATAGAAACATTTGGCAGAAGTTTCCACGCTGCCAGAAATTCTGATAAGGGAAACAGCCTCTCGAGACTGGCCTCTGGATTTGATTGAACAATCATTTCGGCGCCCTGAAGCGGCGAACCGGCAGGGAACAACCGAACTGACCGTTCTACAACCCTCCTCAGAGGATTGTACGGGGACTCTGACACCTTGGTGCCCTGAAACGGCGAACCGGCAGGGAACAACCGAAGTGGCAAACCTGCGACTCTCCTCGGAGAATCGCCCCCCGGAGGGCGCCAAAGAGGGACGGTTCCTCGGAATCATTCCTCCCTGGAGGGGACCACCCTCAGATGTCTGACGGCCTTGGCGTCAGGACTTCTTCTTAGTCCAAGCTCTCTTAGTGATAACAGTCCTCCGATCCTGTCTACCTCTAACAGGCTTAGACTGTGACCGCCACTCAGGAACCCCAGATCGTGGAGGCGCCCGAGCGGCGACGCTCTGCTTTTGCTGGAATCTATGGAAGGCGGAGCTCGTAGACGGTCGAGGCTGCTCAGACTTTATATTACGAGCAACCTCGGGGACACTGGACCGGCGAGGAAGAAACCTCTGAAACGCAGCCGCTTGTTTTTTACTTTCTTGAAACCTATCAACGACACAATTTATAGCGTCGCCGAACAGACTTGTAGGTGAAAGCGGCGCGTCCAGAAGAACAGACCTATCTTTGTCTTTAATATCAGTCAGATTTAACCATAAATGCCGCTCTGTGGCCAGATTTGGCCGTCTCCTTGGTGGCCCGGAGAGATAGATCTGTCGTGCGACGCAACTCTCGAATTGCGTCAGCACTAACTTCCTCACAATTATCCATGTCCCTCAGCAGGTCAGCCTGGTATGCTTGTAATATTGCCATTGTGTGTAAGCATGCCGCGGCCTGACCTGATGCCGAATACGCTTTACCCACCAACAATGAAGTATTTTTTAATGGCTTGGTGGGTAACGTCGGGGCTTTCAGTGATGACGCTGACTCGGGGGAAAGATAGCTCGCAAGCGTCTCTTCCGCACGAGGCATCGTCATATAACTATGGTGATCAATCCCTTGAACTTTACTATAGTTATTAGTTTGTGGATTATACACTCTGAAAGACGCCGGTTTATTCCACGATCTCGACACCTCGGTGTGGAGATTGGGAAAAAACGGGAGTTCCCGACGTGGAGGTCGTGATCTAGATGGAAGAAATCGTTCATCTAACAGACTTTTTCTAGAATCAACTTCAAAATCATCAGCTGGCCATTCAATATTTAATTTAGCAACAGCACGAGATAAAACCTCCAAAAGCTCCTCATCAGCAGGGGTATGAGCTGGCGAACACTCATAATCACCCATATCAACGACATCCAGTTCCTCAGAACTGGATAGCCGCAACATTGGTGCCTCAACCTGGGAAGGAGAAGCCGCAGCGCGGGCTCCTTCCTGGGCAGAGACACCGGATCCAGCAGGTAAGGGTTGAGAAAGGGCGGGGCCCGTCTCAAACCCCGCTACTAAATCCATATGCGATCCCCAAGATGAAAGCCTCCGCTGTGCCTCGGCAGCAGCGGGACCCGCACCTCGGGGAACGCGAACCGAACTGTCCTCCTCAAAGAACGCCCGGCGAGAGCAGAGAGTTTTCATAGACAAACTCATGCAATGCACACAATCAGCTCCCTCGAGAACTGACTGGGCATGCTCCACTCCCAAACAAGCAACACAAAGCTGATGTGTGTCCCCACCCGTGATATAACGAGGGCAGGGAACAACACAACGTCTAAAATCTTGCTTGCTCGCCATGGTAATAAATATATATTGGGCTTGACAGACAACAATAAATAGACAAGGACAGATTCACAGAGAGCGCTTGCTGAAGGTTCAGAATCTGGCGCGGTCTGATTTCAGGGGTGCTTTATAGTTTCCTGGTCTATGACGTTACCCATGACGTTTCAGGCTTCCATTGGACTGATTTTACATGTGCTTCATGACGTATTCACGCAGGGCGTTCCCACCGCGTCTCAAACGCAGCTCGAAGTTCCCTGGAAAGGGAACTAATTTGTGTAGTCTAAAACAGACTAAAGAACAAACACTGGTGGAGCATTCAGTATTAACACATAAATCATGGATGAGCCACTTCTTCATCTTAGGTTACTGTGTGTGAAATGAGAAGAAACAGTTTTTGTCAGGAGTGTGACACAGAAACACGTCACATTTCATGCACTTGATTATGTCATTACATCCAGGATATTTACACCTCCCTCTGTTTTCACTGTAGACAGACCAGTGGTCTATGCGGTCCAAGCGGACTGGGGCCACCCCCGGTAGAGGTGCAATTGCGCCCCGTCTTTTTTTCAGGTCTAAACCTGAACCTATTGATGATAATATTGTATTGCTAACTAGCATGAAAACAGGGAATTCTCATTCCACTGTTGCATATTGTTGCTTTGAGGCATAGCTATTTTACCCATTTACAAAATTAATATTCAATGAAAACATAATCAACAGAGTAAAATTAAATCAGAACTTAACCAAAATTGTGGAAATATTTTTTATTTCATGGAAATCCTAAGGAAAATGTTACTTTTTCAAAGTTTTGTGGAGCTGAAAAAACATGGCTGCAGCATGTGAGTGCAGGTGAGGAAAAGACATTGAAAAAGGGGTTTGACAAGTCATGAAATCAAATACAAGCATTCTATTGGCTTTTCATACTTCCTCCAGTTTTTTTTGGTGTATGATTTTGTAAGCCTGAGAATATGAGGTAAAATGGGTATGTTACCCTGAAGCAACACTATGCAATTTAACTGAAGCAACGCTATTTTTTAACTTAGCTGCAATTTCTTTGACAATAGAAATTAAAAATGTTGCAAGAATAAGATTCTGTGTTTCTTATTTTGCATTTCAAAACTCTATCGATGCAACACTGTTTTAAATTAATAAACTGTCCCGACACTTTATTTATACCTTGAAATGTACGAAGGGTTTTCAAACTTAATTAATTTTATTTTTCTTATACATTTTCGTTTATTTTTTTTAATTGAAAGCAATACTGTATTGAAAGTATTTTTCTAATTTGTTCGATCATTGAAAAATGGCTTCCGTTGCTTTGGCCGGGTATCACTGTCAGTCATCTCAATTCACACAAAAAATAATAATTTAGCAGATTAAAGACAAGCTTCATCATCTTAATTTTCTGGTGCGATCGGCTGACAGTCTTCCTTCATCAGATGTGTCATCTTTGCAAGTGATCTTGACATCAACTGGAATGTAGCAAATGTATGTAGTGATGTACAATTGATAATTAAACAAGATGCTTGACTTTAATAAACAGATACATATTTAAGCATCAAGAACGGAAAATCATGAACACTGAGATTCGATCTCAGATCGCTTGAAGCTCCGAGAGGCTCATGCTGTTGCGTTGACCACAGAGCTAACGTCTGAATACTTCCAAATCTATGTCTTATGCTCTTACAAAGCCTCATTGATGTGGCCTAATGTTTTTCTATTGCAATGTTTTATATTGAATTTTTTTTCATTATTCAATTTATTGAATTTAATTTCAGTAATTTCAGTATTGTGATTATGAATTCATTCAATGTTTCATTTGAATTGATTTGCCACCAGCTTTCATTTGCTCTCAATCAGCCGCGGCGCGGCGGCAGATTACGCAAAAGAGAGAATAAACTGACACTTTGCAAAGTCTGTGATTGTAGCGCCTCTTAGCGGTAAAAGGCAGCAAATACACACCCGCACGGCGGCGGTAAAAGTATTATTCTGGTTGAGTACCATCTGTAAGACAGTGTGTAATATTATGTTTTAAAAAAGTAGTGTAATATTATGTTTTTAAACAAGTATTTAATAAGCTACTCAATCAAAATAGTAAACACAAGTAGCCTACAAGCCAAGAATACTTAGTATAATTAATTATACCTTTAAGTATATCTCGATCAACAAGTAGAGGCCAAATATACTTAGACTTTTCTTTTAGTATAAGTCAAGTACACTTCAGTGGAATTTGAAGTATATTTCTGAGAAGTACATAAAATGTAGACTGAAAATTTACTTTCTTATTTTTAGTTTAAAAGAAGTATACTAATAGCACACTTGAATAAACTTATTTTTCTTAAGGGCTGTGACGTCCGAAGCTTCGTTTTCACACACAACCCTGTGACTGCTTCATATTCTGAGTCAAAAATAGTGCGAACCCCTTGTGCAGCTCCAGTGTCATTCGCTTCTTTGATAAGAATAAATCATAATACGAATATTTACATATGTAGTTTTGTGCATGTTCAATTTCAGTATTAATCCCCAGTTCACAAGCACTTCAACTGACTGTTCCTCAATAACCGTAATGTATTTTCATATTTTAATTTATTACCATATTCCTACACGATCCTTGACTATGAACTCATAAGACTGCTTGTGTTGATCGAAGCATATCCCCCAAAACTGCGACAGTCCCTCACTGTACAACACAACAGTACAGAACACAATTAGTTTATTCATTTGTACATTTATTATTTATTCACATTGCAAAGGAGCAGGGTCTCGTCCAGGTTGAGACTGACAATTACAGAAAATATTATCCCTCTTATGCAGATGCTTCTAAGCACCGGACTAAGTTCCTCTTTTCCTATCACATTGAGTCGGCACGAACGCAAGAGACATATCGATCTCTTGTGGTTTCACACCAGGACAGGGGGGCCGTACACACATTGTCTGGCACCCTTGAGGTGTCAGAAAGTTGTTAATCTTAATACAATACACAATACAGAACAACTGCAAAACATGTCCTATCTGCAAGATGTTCAGCTAAGATACCATCAGTTTGTCAATTTATCCTAAGATATTGTAAACCCTTTGTGGTCTGTCTAGTGGAAACTTACAGACTTTTGAACTCTTTTAGACAGTTTAAACAGCAAGTACATAATTTCACCCTAAAAGTTAATCAGCTACATTTGAGACATAAAGATTAATAAAAGGAAAGCATTTAAACACACTTCAAATGATAATAATGAAAAACACATCAAAATTATAGTAATGAGAACCACATCAACATGATAATATTGATTTCTTAAAATATGATGATTACATTTGATTAAATGATATTTAAGTTCTGAATGGTTAAATGATAAAACACAAGCAAATGATACAACTTAAGTAAAAGGTAAGACATAAGTAAGATATATAATTTTTCTTTTCCTGCTTCACAATTGCTTCTGGATTTTTTTTATATTGTGTATACAGTATATTTTTTTAAAGGGGTCATATAATGGTACATGCACTTTTACAAGTTGATTGTACTGAAATGTGTGTTGGCAGTGCCTGTACACAAACATCATATAATGATACAAATCCATCCAGTGTTTTTGTTTTAATCTCCTTATATGTGTTCCCCTGCCTCAAATTGAGCCGTTCGTTTTTGTGACGTCAATAAAACGGACGCCCCTCCTACGGCTCCTACGTTGATTGACAGCCGGTTTCAACACAGACCCGCCCTAGCTCGTGAGAGCTGTCAATCATAGTCAGCGCGGACCGGCGCGGTCATTGTTGATATGCTGGAGCACTGTCTATGAGCAGAATGGCGTCTAAGCGATTGTGGTGTTCTGTTCTTGGGTGCAATAACGAACACAGCAGTCATTTTAATGTTCCTAAATCCGAACCGCTGAAGACGCAGTGGCTGAGTTTTGTTTTCGAAGGGAATATTCCCACGAGCAACGTCAATGCGTTCATGTTTGCGCGAATTATTTCACACACCAGACTGCTTATAAACGAGGAGGGTCAGTATAAAGCTGGTTTTGCTAAGAAGTACCAACTATTCATGTTCCTGCTGAACCTCCAAAATAACTGAAGTGAGTGTATCGTTTTATTAATCTTTAATATTTATATTAATCTTTGCAAATCGCTAGATGCACGCTTCACAATGAATGCGTCTAAGGTTTACACTCAGGGTACATTACGGCATGTTTTCTATGTACGACGTTCTCAATATAATTCATAATCCCACGTTTATAATGAACAACGCGTTATGGTATTGTGTTACAAACGGTGTACACAGAACAGAGAGGCGGGGTGAGCAAAACTCATTATCATTTAAAGTCATATGCACTGAAACGGCGTGCTGAAAACAGAGCTGTTTTTGACCAGGTAAAATAAGTGTTTTCTTACAATACTAATGAGAATTTTCAATTAAAGTATATTACAAACTTTTAATTTAGACTCTAAAGAATCATATTAGCTTGTACAAAAATGGCATTATATGACCCCTTTAAAGTAAATTACTATAAAGATAGGGAAACAAATTGCTACATTGCTCATTAATTCTTGTTACATATGCTGTAATACAAACAATAAAACAAACATATATTTTGTATCACCTAATGAAATATTGATTTATGAGAAAAATCATTCAAACTTCAAAGATAAAAGTTCACAATTTATGCAATGCTCCCTGTAGTATTTTAACATTTAAAAATGACACACACAGGGCTCCAGACTAACTTTTTTCACTAGGAGCACAGTGGCCCCCAACTGAAAATTTTAGGGGCACAACCAGAAAATTTAGGAGCACACACCGTAAATCAACATACTAACCAAATATTCACATTTCTACTAATTTCCAGTGTATTACTAGTTAATACTTTGATAATAGATGCAGAAATTACAATGCCTTTGCGCTCTGATTTAGCGTTACAACCTATTGTCTTCTAAAAGCAACCAGTGGCATTGCTTTTTGATTTATTAACATGTCACCACATACTCTATGCTTGAGGCTAAGATTGTGTTTAACTAGCGTATTGTGTTTAAACT